GCCCCCTGGCGCCCCGCCCCGCCCAGGCCCCGCCCAGGCCCCGCCCCCAGCCCGGCTCACCGCAGTCCCAGCGGCCCAGAGCTGCGGCCGCGGGATCCGCCCCCAGGCCAGAAGCCCCGCCCCGGCCCCGCCCTCACTTCTGCGACGTGCGCTTCAGACGTTCGGAGTCGCTTTCCCGCTTGTCCCGTGCGCTCGCCAGCAGGAAATTCTCCTTGTGTACCGACTCCCACGTCAACAGCATCCCATCGGCTTCCTTGGAGAGACAGACCCCTGGAGGGCGGAATCCGGCGGAGTCAGGGGGCGCATCCCACCTCGGCCGAAGCCCCGGCCAAACCCAGCCTCCCCTCCGAGAGCGTGCTCCCCGGGTCGGGCCCTGTCGCCTAAGCGCCGCCCCGAGCCCTTCCGGGCGCACCGCCCCATGATCCCATGCCCATCTCTCTTCCCAAGTTTCTCCCCTTCAGGCCACACTGTTCTCACGGAAGTATTCGAAGGCCATGGAGGTGGGCACACTGTCCCTAGGGAGCCCGCACAGCCGCCTCAGGAGAAGGCGTAAGTGGGAGAAGACGATGAGGGGCGGGGCCAGTGCGGGCCGCGAGTGGAATTCCCGGATGAGGCTGTAGCGTTGTGTCTTCCAGTAGAGGTCGCTGTTGCCCTGTACTTTGCCAAACGTGTGGCTGAGGGAGCAGAGGTCAAGGGTCACCTAAGGCCTTGATCCCAGAGATCAAGGTTAGATGTCAGGCAATATCTGTTCAGAGTCCAAGGCGGCAGGCGGATCTCAGAATAAACAGAGGGTATAACAAGACCAAGGTTTAAGTCAGGTTAGAAGGGTCAAGGGCCAGCAGTTAGCGTAATGGCTATGTCGCTGGACTCCCACGTAGTTGACCGCGGTTCAAGTCCCAGACCCGGTGGCTTAAACTCACGCCGGGCATGTGTGTGTGCATGCCCAAGATCCCGAGAGGAGAAGGGATTGCGGCGTGACCATCCCTCCTGGGGGGTGATTTCTCGCTTTCTATCTCTCTGTCTCTCTCTGTCTGTCTGGCAAGCACACACGCCCTAGAGCAAAAAAAATTCTCCAAAAAAAGGGAAAAAAAAGAAGGGACAAGGGTCACATGTCAGAAGTCAAGGTTGGGATGTGTCATCAGTTAAGGTAGAATTTGGAGTTGGGCTCAAAAGATAGCATAGATATAATCATTAAAATAATCAATGAAAAGGGGACACCACTACCAACCTTACAGAAATAAAAAAAGATTATAAGAGAATACTATCAACAATTGCATACCGCCCAATTAGATAAATAAAATGGACACATTTCGAGAAACTGACTCGAGTAGAAAGAGAAACTCTCAATAGACATATCACAAGATATCAAATCACTGATCAAAAATTTCTAATGGAAACAGCCGAGGGGCCACCTGCAGTGACACAGTGTTAGCACATTGCTCCATAATACTGAGGCTGCATGGGAGGGTACCAGGTTCACATCCTGTGTGCAGTGAACACATGTACATGCCTGTGATATGGAATGGTTGAGGCTGGAGGGGAGGACCGCAGTCTTTCTTTCCCTGCCTGTCTCTCTCTCTTGTCTCCCTCTCTTATAGAATAAATAAAAATGAACTTAAAA